GTATTCGCTTAGGTGGAAAATTTGGATAACCAGTGTTTTCCGAACCTGCGAATGCTTCAGTGAGTGTTTCAAACTTTGCTTGCAAGTTTTCGAAACACTAACGAGCAGCTTCAAATCACAATCAAAAACTTTACTTGATTTTTTTTTCGAGTTATTGTAAATCTGTTCATAACTCGATGTATCGGTAACACTCGGAGCTATAGTTTGTAATAACCTTCGATTAATTTGACTAAGTAGTTCACGTGTCATTTTCTGCAAATCCAACAATTTGTCATGCATGATTTTTATTTCGCTAATTTTTCTTTTTGATTTTTTTTTCTTTTATGTCTTTTGTTTCAATCTTAGTGGCTTTTATTTTTTTGATTTCCGCCAATTGCTCAAGTTGGCCAATTAGCTTTGAGTTCCGACGCTTTTTCCTCTCATGGCTGAAGCTCGTGCTTGCTATAATTTCCCATGCTTTTCGCTTCACTCGGTGTGTCTCGTATTTTACAATACTCTGTGCAGATAAAACTCTGCTATGATTATGTTAATGGTTCTTCTGTTTCTGAAACGACCATTCAATTGCCTCTCCGACTATGTGAGACAAGGCACTTTTCGCACAAATTTTCAGTGGCTACAGCGTCATATTGTTTTTCAGAGCAGCTCCGGTAACGACAGAGTTTGATGTTTGGGAAAGTTACTTCAGAAGTTACACAAATAGATCCAGTCTCTAAAGTAGCTTAAAACAACCCGGTGTTAAGATGGGTGCAAATAAACTCGTGCAAATGAGCTGTGCGGAAATTTGCTGATGATTCTTCTCTTTCCATATCAACCAATGAATTGCCTTTCCAAGTATGTGAGATCAGGCAGTTTTGGCACAAACTTTCATTTGCTGCAACTTCATCTTGTTTCTCAGAGCAACTTTGGCAGTGACCGAGTTTGATGTTCGGAAAAGTTACTTCCCAAATGATACCAACAGTTCCGGTTTCTAAAGTGTCTTCAAATATCCTGGTTTCTTTCAAAAAATTCAGCTGAATTGTGTTTTTTTTTCCAATTTGGTCTAAATTGTGGCATGCCACATAAAATATCGGTTAAATTTTATTTGTTATTTTCAGTCTCGAAATTTCTTTGTGTTATTTTCTCAAATTTAGCTCAAAACTTGTTCTACTTATTTTCACGGTTTTGCTTGAAGTTTTTTTTGCGACACAAGCACGTGAAGTCGAGGACCACTTGACTTCAAAATTCGAAGTGTAGTCTTAAGTCTTCAGTACCCTTACGTCATGCGCTTTTCCAAGTAGAGGTTTGTTCATTCGTCGCATGAAGCCGCTGGTGTGATCTGGCTATTGCGTATTTTTTAGAATTTGATTTCGTTTCTCGCCATATTGTCTGTTCTTAAAAGACAATCTGTCCTTCCTTGTCTCTGGCTATTTTCAGCTTCAAATCCTCCATATTAGCTATGAAGCTGTCATGTTGTTCTTGATGTTGATTTAATTGCTCGGCAGGCGCACTCAGAATTCCTACTGCAGTCGTTTTCTGTGATTTGAGGATGCGGGACTGGTTGAAGATCCCAGTCAGATCATTTACGAGGATGGTAATCTGTCGTATAAGCAATAAGCTACAAATAATGAGCATACATTGGGTATTCGCATGGTTCAAAACAATTTTCGATGTCATCTTTTTTGCTGCCTTGTCTTTCGGTAGAACTATTACCTATTACCGCTTGCCCATATGTTCATCAGGCTCATTTTATGAACTGAAATGAATTAGTTGAAGCTTCGGTTTGACAGAGATTTCTAATCTAACGAAAGAGAATTTTAGACTTTTGGTTGTATTCGCTTAGGTGGAAAATTTGGATTACCAGTGTTTTCCGAACCTAAAATGTTTCAATGAGTGTTTCAAACTTTGCTTGCAAGTTTTCGAACCACTAACGAGCAGCTTCAAATCGCAATCAAAAACTTTACTTGATTTCTTTTTCGAGTTATTGTAAATCTGTTCATAACTCGATGTATCGGTAACACTCGGAGCTATAGTTTGTAATAATCTTCGATTAATATGACTAAGTAGTTCACGTGTCATTTTCTGCAAATCCAACAATTTGTCATGCATGGTTTTTGTTTCGCTAATTTTTCTATTTGATTTTTTTTTCTTTTATGTCTTTCGTTTCAATCTTAGTGGCTTTTATTTTTTTATTTCCGCCAATTGCTCAAGTTTTAGCTTTGAGTTCCGACGCTTTTTCTTCTCATGGCTGAAGCTCGTGCTTGCTATGATTTCCCATGCTTTTCGCTTGACTCGGTGTGTCTCGTATTTTAAAATACTCTGTGCAGATAAAACTCTGCTATGAACATGTTAATGGTTCTTCTGTTTCTGAAACGACCATTCAGTTGCCTCTCCGACTATGTGAGACAAGGCACTTTTCGCACAAACTTTCAGTGGCTGCAGCGTCATATTGTTTTTCAGAGCAGCTCTGGCAACGACAGAGTTTGATGTTTGGGAAAGTTACTTCTCAAGTGACACAATTAGATCCAGTCTCTAAAGTAGCTTAAAACAACCCGGTGTTAAGATAAGTGTAGTTAAACTGGTGCAAATAAAATGTGCGTACGTATGCTGATGGTTCTTTTCTTTCCTTATCAACCATTTAATTGCCTTTCCAACTAAGTGAGATCAGGCAGTTTTGGCACAAACTTTCATTTGCTGCAGCTTCATCTTGTTTCTCAGAGCAACTTTGGGAATGACAGAGTTTGATGTTCGGGAAAGTTATTTCCCAAATGATACAAACAGATCCAGTCTCTAAAATTCTTTAAATATCCTGGTTTTTTTTAAAAAAATTCAGCTGAATTGTTTTTTTTTCCGATATGGTTTAAATTGTGGCATGCCTCATAAAATTGTATTTGTTATTTTCAGTCTGAAAAGTTTTTTGTGCTATTTTCCCAAACTTAGCCCAAAACTTGTTCTACATCTTTTCGCCGTTTTGCTAGAAGTTTTTTTTGCGACACAATCTTGTGAAGTCGAGGACCACTTGACTTCAAAATTCGAAGTGTAGTATCAATTTGTCAGTACCCTAACGTCATGCGCTTTACCAAGTAGAGGTTTGCTCATTCGTCGCATGAAGTCGCTGGTGTGGTCTGGCTATTGTGTCCTTTTTAGAATTTGATTTCGTTTCTCGCCATATTGTCTTTGCTTAAAAGACAATCTGTCCTTCCTTGTCTCTGGCTATTTTCAGCTTCACATCCTCCATATTAGCTATGAAGCTGACATGTCGTTCTTGGTGTTGATTTCATTGCTCGGCAGGTGCACTCAGAACTTCTACTGCAGTCGTTTTCTGTGATTTGAGGATGCGGGACTGGTTGAAGATCCCAGTCAGATCGCTTACGAGGATGGTACTCTGTCGTATAAGCATTAAGCTACAAATAATGAGCATACATTGGGTATTCGCATGGTTCAATCTTTTTCGCTGCCTTGTCCTTCGGTAGAACTATTAGTTAACCACGCCATTTGGGATCAACATAAATACCACCAAAAACTTGAGGGATTGGGTTCTTGACGTTTTCCAACAAATGCAGGTTGCCCATATGCTCATCACCCTCATTTTATCAACTAACTTAGTTGAAGCTTTGATTTCACAGAGCTTTTTACTCTATTAAAAGAGACTGGTTATGTGCGCTTTCGTAAAAAAGTTTGATGACCTAAGTTTTCCGAACCTGTGGATGTTTCGATGAGCGTTTCAATTTTTGCCTGCAAGTTTTCGAATAATTTACAAATCGCGATCAAATACTTTGCTTCCTTTTGTTTTCGAGCTATTGTAAGTCGGTTGAAAATTCCTAGTAGTTATCTTCGATTAGATTGGCGAAACGGTTCCCGTGTCATTTTCTGCACATCCAACAATTAGTCATACTTGATTTTCGGTTACCTAGTTTTTTTACCTATGTTTTCGTTCATTTTTTTCAGACGCTTTTTCTTGTCTTCTGCTTCCTGGTTTTTGTGATAAACATCCACTTATGCCTCATGTTTCCACTTAGTGGCTTTAATTATATCTCCGCTAATAGCACGGTAGTTTTAGCTTTGACTTGTGAGTGTTTTCATCCTGTTTACCGCGTGGTCTGGAAACAACCTGATTATTGTTTTTTAGATATGATTTTCAGTCCGTTTCCTCAATCTGTTCAACAATATCATGCGCAACTGTAATTGTTGACATCTTTTCCCGCTTTTTTAAATGTGTTTTTTTTTTCTGGTGGCATTTTTTTATCCATTGGCTGAAGTTGTGTTTGTGGTAATTTAAGAGGCATTAGCAAAAAATCGTTAATTTGCAACTTTCTGAGCAGATTAACCTGTGCTTAGAACATGTAAATAGTTGTTCTACCTTCCATAGTAATGGCCGATAGGGTTGAACGCGGGCTTCACAGTAATGGCCTGGTCGTGGATCTTCGTCTGTTTACAGTAGAATACAATGTTAATAAATCCGCATATTACATATGTTGATCTTGTGAACTATTTCCCCCCTATTGCAATAGGGGGGATAGTTCACAAGGTACAAAATTTGTATACGCTTAACTGTTCAATTTTTTCTTTATAGGGAGGGGGATAGATTCGTTACAAGGTACCATAGGGGGGAAATAGTTAACAAGATCCCAATATGTTCATTATGTACTGTGTATTCTCGCTCGTTTGTTACGGAACACAATGAAGAAAAAGGGAAATATACTAAACACCATATCTTTGATATGTTCTAGTCATACTTTCTATACCTGTCCATTCAATTATCTAGCATTTTTGAATGCATAATAAATTTGATGAATTTACCAATTAGTTTCCACTAAAATTAAAAGAAGTTTTAGTTAACTTGTTGCATCGTGTCTTAATGCAGCGGCATGAAGCTAGAAAAGAGCTTAGAAATGAACAGTAAAAAAACTAGAATATCTTCAGGGAAGAATCCCAGCACTGCAGCTAATTATTGATCTCATTATAAATCATACGAAAACTGTCGGAACAACGATTTGACTCCTAATGAATCTTGTTCTGTTTAGTGGCTATTCGTACTATTGGAACAGAGAGAGTGATCTGGTCACGTGGTTACACCCTCTGGATGAAGATGCAGTCATCACTCTGGCAGCATCCAAATTAGCCGAAGCAGTAGCTGCGAAGAAGTTAGCCGAAACTAATGTAAGGAAAAATATTAATCTTGTATCCACATTGAGTCGGGGTGCGCAACCGTTTTTTAGATATAAATACAAATTTGAGCAAAAACAGCCGGTTGCTGTGACATTTTTGTGTTGACATTTTGTGTCGTTTTTTTGAGGGGGAGGGAGCTAGCGTCCACCTCCCCCAACTTTCAAATCAGTTTCAACCTTAGACCAAACCACATTAATGGGTTACATTTTGTTCAAGCTTAAATTCACTTTTTCAGGGTTTGACCTTTGATTTTTAAGTTCAATTCATTTCTTTTGTTAAAAGCAAGGCAAACTCCACTATCGGACATCAAATATGTAAAGGTCACGGAAATTGTGGTCGACCTCTAGTTTAGAAAGTGAATATTGATTTTCAGATTTCCCAGCGAAATAAAAAATTTATTTATTGTTCCAGTTTTTCTGAAGTTCGCTGTGTTTTGCCTCATTTTAGCCGACTTTGTTTCTAAAGTATGTGAATAGTTCAAATGCTCAAATGAGTGAATGTTCATTGTTGTCTAGTTTTTGACGATTGTGTGCATTTGTCACTTAGGAATATGAACAATAATTTTTCTCGCAATTGGTGCGAAATTTCTTTTCAACTCTATATCAAAATTTGAACTTCTACCTAGTTTTGTTTTGTAATTCAAGACCTCAGTTTTTACCATTTTTTCTGACTTGTGTTTGCGAAATGCATATCGGCTTCTGTGATAACAATAATAGATTTGCAAAAATGTGGACTGACAAATTTTATAAGCCATTTGTCGGCTTGAACAAATTTGTGCCTGAAAAATTCACGTCTGAAGACAAATTTATTGGAAACAGCAAATTTGTTCTTTGTATTTGTTCTATCCGTCCAATTTTTGTGCAGTTCTCCGTTCCAGTTTTTAAGAGATTTGAACGTAGTAAAGACTCTTATATAGCTCTTGATGGTTTTTTTCAGCAAAAGTCTTAAAATTTGATTTTTCGCGGTTTGGTTTTTTTAAATTTTAATGCCATTCCTCTATTTACTCAAGCGAAGCTTGTGTTATAGTATGAAGTACCTTTTTTAAACCTAAGTCGCAAATATTGTTGGGACAAAAGTGTTCATTTTGAACGTGTTCATTTTGATAATTAACCAGCTATTAAGTACAACCAATGCTAAGGATGTTAACACAGACTGTTATATTACAAATAGCACATTAGCTTAAAGGTATCCTGGATCTGTAGCGTAGAGGTAGGGAAGGAGACATGCAACAAAGTTAGAGAGTTCGAACCTGGGCAGGGTCGGATGTTGTTACTAAACTTTTTCGTATACAGGCTAAAACGCGTCCGCTCGATAAATTGAGGCATGTTAGTTGGTAAATTTTTTTTTCGAGTTAACTGATACTGCTAATGCGTCATAATTGACTAGCTTAACTTAGCAATTATGTAGACTCATAATCGGCAAGCGTCACTTTAGAATTGTTGTTGACTCAAATTTTTACTTATTCAGTTTTTCCCAGTAGCGTTATCGGTCATATTTTGCTTGTGTATGCGAAGTGCAATTTCGCGTCTGTGAAAAACGGCGGCAAACTCCATTATTGAACAGCAAAAATGTAAGGGTCACAAAAATCGTGATCGACTTCTGGTTTCGAAATTAATTATCCAGTGGAATAAACATTTTACCTATTGATCCAGTATCTCAAATTGGGTTAATTTTATCAGAAAGTGTCACGAATTAAATGTTCTGGACATTCAATGAGCTTCAAGGCCATTTATTGATTTCTTTAAAGTTCAATTATGAAGTTTTCTAAAAATCAGTCACTTGTTTTTCTATTTCCTTGTGTTCATGTCTTTGATCTGACTGTCAGTTGGCTATGTTTTATATCTATTAAGCATTAGTAATAAAATAATGGTTCTATCGATCCAATATATTTGCAGTTCTCCCTTTCAATTGGTTTTGTTTTTAGAAGCAAATCACCCTGCAGATAAAATCAACCACTGCCTCGAATGCAACAGAAGCTAATAAAGATGAAAGCGAAGATGAAGATGGGGATGAGGACGAGGAGCCGAGGTGATCACACTGTGACAGGATTCTCAACAACGAAGGACTCTGTCCCTCCTGTAATAAAGTAAGGCTGGTAGTGAACAAATTGATCGAATTTTAGGCTGTGCTATTTCACCCGAAAACGCATGACCAAACCGCCATCCTCCAACAAAATAGATGAAGTGCGTGAACCATTAACGTTACAAGTTTGTTTATTGAGCCCAAATGAATTTGAAAGACTATGCATGCCATATTTCCGTAGAATAAGGCATTTTTTACCTGTTTTTTTTTTTTGAAAAAAAAAATCACTGGAACAATAATGAAACCAAAAAACCCTGATTTTGGTTTGTTCTTAGCCGAACCAGACTAAGAAGATGAAGGGGCTCCGTCCCCCGAAGAGACCCAAAGTGGATGCGAACGAGGAACTGGACCCCATGGACCCAGCTGCATATGACGAATCAGTGCCCAGGTGAAGAATACATGAAACAGTTCATGTGGTTTATCTCTTAGTCTTGTCAATCAATTTCGCATTCTTAAGAAAATTTTTCCTGATGTTTTTGCCGGTGTGTTTTTGCCTAATATAGTTTTTTTGCTGACAAATTCAAGCATAATGGTTAATCAGTTGAAAGTTTGACAAATTTTTAGTTTTTTTTTGCACGTGCTCAATACATAATAATTTGATCCGTTACTTCTGAAAAACGGGCGATAACTTCATCGATCGATTCGCCGCACTTTTTCCCTTTTTTATCAGTCCATATTTGTCTGTTTAAAGCGCAAAGAAGAGCATAGTTAAAAAACATACTGTAAAAAATTACCATTTCGTGTTTATTTTTTTAGGAAAAAGTCGTAAAAGTGATCCAAGATCAAATTTATACTTAAGTGATTTCTTGGACTAACGTTTTCTTTTTAAGTTCAATTCACATGCGTTCGTTCATTAAAAAAAATAAAATTAAGCTGGTGATCTGCAAATAGTTAGTTTTTGAAGGCTCTTTAACATTCGCCCCCACTCCCCCCACCCCATATGACTTTCAATTCCGAAAAACTGTCTCAACATTGTCATAATGCGATGAAACTTTGCATGGTAAACCAAATAGCTCTTTTGAAAAGATTTGTTCTTAATATTTTACATCGTAACATCACGCATATAGTCATTATAAAACGGAAAACAACAATGAAATTGTAAAATTTGAAATGTTGATGGATATATGTTCTGTCTTTGAAACTCGCAGGTTGAAAAATTAGCTTTTCTCCAATTGTCTGTCGGCTTTTTTTTTCTCTTAAAAGTAGTCGTCTGTTTTTGTATTTTTTGTTCATTCACCGACTGTTCTATGGATTTTTCTTGATGCTGATTCAGAGCCGATGATCGAAGTTCAGACTCTCATGCACGTCGCAATGATTTTTTTTTTCGTTTTTTTTCAGGAAAATTCTTTGGAAATTTATTCAGGCTCAGATATACTTTTTGCGGTTTGACTTTTGATTTATTTCTAAGTTCAGATCATTTCCTGTGTTAAAAGGAAGTCAAAATCCACTATCGAACAACAAAAGTTTAAAGGTCACGAAAAACGTGATTGACTTCAAGAGAAATTTTATTTTCAGATTTTCCAGCAAAATAAAAAATTAAACCTATTGATCGAGTTTTCTCATGTTGGGTTAATTTTATCGAAAAAGTGCCAATCATATTTTGTTCTAGAAATTCCAAGAATTTCTAGGGAATCTTTTTTTGAAATTCGAAAGTAAAGATTATTTTAAAAATAAGTCAGTATGTTCTTTCTTTTTTCCTTTCAATATTAATCTGTTGAAGGGGTACTTGGTCCACTGGACTGATCCAGCAGGGAGCCAAAGCGGCAGACAGTACAGCAGCCGGGCCCCTCTTCCAACAGAGACCCTACCCTAGTCCAGGCGATGTTCTGAGGGCCAACAGAGAACAACCCAATAGCGATTAGCTGCAAACTGCGTCTTGTCTTCTATATAGGAGCAGAAATGGAGTCACAGTTAAAGATCGACGAGAAATGATTTTGTGTTGATGGATGTTAGTCGAAAAAAAACTAACAGAGCTTTAGCTTCGCGCATACAAGCAAAACTTATATCAAATTCTTGTTGTTTTCACAAATGTCACCTCGAGGCAGAGAGATTGAAAAGTTGAGATATTGGTTCAAAACTGTATCGTATCTTTAGATAGTCTTGTTTTATTGTTTGTTTTTAAAAGAAATGAATAAAAAATGTTTTGGCCTGTTGATTCGCCAGAGATCTCAAAAAAAACGTTGTCATGTAAAAAAGGCAAATGACACGTTTGAGGAAAAGTATGCAATGGTTAAACTAGTAACAGATCTCATCCCCACTCAATGCTGTAGAGGAGTGGGGTCATATGAGCTGTCATCAAAAGGATCCGATTTGACGTATTAATTACACAAGCATAGCTTGTGTTATAGTATGAACTTTTTTTCCAACCTTAAGTCGCAAAATAATGTTGCGATGCAATTGCTCCGACAAAATGTGTTAATTTTGACTGTTCATTTTGATCCAGCTGTTAAGTACAGCCAATGCTAGGGATTTTAACAGAGACTATTATATTAAAAATAGCACTTTAACTTCAAGATATCATGGATCTGTAGCGTAGAGGTAGGGAAGGAGACCAGCAACAAAAAAAAAGTTCGAACCTTGGAAGGATCGGATGTTTTCAAAACAAGATTTTCGTATACTAGTTAAAATGCGTCCGCTCTAAAAATTGAGGAATGTTATTGGTACGTTTCTTTTTTTTCCAAATTAATGGTACTGGTAATGCTTGCGTCACTTAGCAATTATATAGACTCATAACTGGTGGAATCCCTCATGCGCGAAGGACAGAATGCGCGAAAATACAAATCAGCCAATCAGATTTCAGCAATATAAAATTTGGAAAGAAAGTAAACATTTCCAGGAACTGGAGTAATGATATTGGCCGAATATAAAAACGGCAGAAATATGCTACATTTTCAAATTGTCACTGACCGCCGCCGAATAAGAACAAGTTTTATATTTCAAGGGTTTCGTTATGAAAGAAGCAAAATACTGCTTCCTTTAATTCATTTTAATTGAATGGCAATTGCTTCTTTTTAAAAATTGACATTCGGCTAATTTTGTTTTCGGTACTTCGCTCATGGGTTTTTCGCGCATTCGGTCCTTCGCGAATGAGTATAGCCCCCCTCATAATTGGCGTGCGTCACTTAAGAGATTTTGTTGACTCAAAGTTTTACTTATTCAGTTTGGTGGAATCCCTCATACGCGAAGGACCGAATGCGCGAAAATAAAAATCAGCCAATCAGATTTCAGTAATCTAAAACTTGCAATGAAAGTAAACATTTCCAGGGACTAGAATATTGAGATTGGCCGAATATAAAAACGGCAGAAAAATGCAAAATTTCAAATTTTCATTGACCGCCGCAAAATTTGGATAAACTTTATATTTCAAGGGATTCGTAATGAAAGCAGCAAAATATTGCTTCATTTAATTCATTTTAATTGAATGGCAATTGCTTCTTTTTTAAAAAAAATGACTTTTGGCTAATTTTGTCTACGGTCCTTGGCCCACAAGTTTTTTCGACCCTTCGGTCCTTCGCGCATGAGAATAGCCCCCATTCAGTTTTTCCCAGTAGCGTTCTCGGTCATATTTTTGCTTGTGTAATTGTACCGCCGGAACTTGCAACTTACCTGATTGATTTTGCGAAATGTTTTGTCAGGTTGAAGTGGTTGCAAGTGCTTAATAATAAAAGTCAGAACATTGAAAGTCTGTGAACTCGCGTTGTAGTTACCAAGCCACAAAAATGGCAACGAATCTAATTAACAAATCATACTTGTCGTATTTAAAACATGTCACACTAGAGCTATCACAAGAAGTAAGGTCACAATTTGAAGCTGATCATTTTTAGCCAAATTAAACTTTTTAAAAATTAAATGACAGAAATTTGCTTGAATAACCTCAGTAAACATTTTCTGCGGACAGTCATTTTACACATTTATCATGTTCGTTTGCGTTTATAAAATTTGTTTAAAAATAGCCGATTTCAATTAGCAGGATTCAGATTTTTCGGATCAGGATAATTGGTGCGCGTAGTGATCTATCTATCTCATCGGAAGTTAACGTTGCCCTAGAAACAATCAATTCATCGGCAGCAGTCAGTCCAAATTTTACCATTGTCCTCGTCACTTTACTTAGCCGATCAATGTCCGTTTTTTCACAAAACTTACCATTGTCCTCGTCACTTTAGTGCCTAATGCCGACGAAATGATCAAAATCTATGAAAAAACTGACATTGATCGGCTCAAAGGAAGAATTTAATTCAATGAAACACTCAATCGGTTATCAAATCAACTCAATTCATCGTAAGTGGCTGATTGGTAGTATGTGAGACGCAGACGTAGCCAAAATTTTACTAACTCGAGGCTTGTTTCCATTTTTTTTATTGCAATTTAGAGTGCTGCGTTTCGTCGTTTCATGGCTAGTGTTTGCGAAGCACAGCTTTGCATGTGTAGTATTTTTTGATCAAGATGAAAAATTATGAATCATGTGGAAAAGTAGTTCAAAACCTTTTTCTTCGAAATAGTAGTCACAGCGTTTTTTCAATTAAGTCACAGTGACATTAAAACAGGTGATTACATTTAAATTTTTGTTAAAATTTGTTCTTAAACTGTCAAAAAGGAATCATTAAGAAAACACTTTCAAAAAACCAAAAAAAAAATTTTCTGAAAATGATTTTAATCATCTTAGGACTAAATCAGTATTTCAACATTCGAACTTGATAATTTTTTCCGCTTTTATCAACATATTTGAAAAACGATATTTGTTTTGAAATATATGATTATTTCAAAGCTTAAATCAAACTCTTGGGTCACAGCGAAGTGCTTTAGTTTATGAATGCGCTTCATAGTGATCGTCAGTAGGTATAAAACAAGCCCGTTTTCTGCTCGATTGAGGAGTCACGCGCAGGTTTTGATATTTGTACTGAAATTGTTTCTCAGTACCATCAAAGAATCTTTTGACCACAATAATATGAAGTAACTGACATGCTTGACTCTGGCATTGTCTCTAGGGACACATTTTTGCCCAGGAAAAGTCTGCCAATTGCTTTCTGAGACAAACTTGTATGAAAGCCGATTTCCATCATTTGCTGATTTCTTAATTAGTGGTCGTAAAACTTTATTCTAATGGCATGTTAACACTTTTTGAGAAAATTGTCAAGCGCCGCACAGTCGTTTGTGCATAATACTTTCCGTTGTTCAATCAATAAATAAATAGATTGATTGATGGACTCAGTTTCTTTCAAATAAATGAAATATTGAGCAAGCTGCATTCTTTTGTTTTCATAATGTTCGCTAGAACAAAACATATTTTACGAAATTTTACTGCTTCCCAGATTCATCTATAATGTGTTTTTTACTCTCTGACATTTGGTCCACATTGGATCATGTGTTTGTAAATGTTGAAGTTGAGAGCTCAATAAAGTGTCACTACTAAAATGTTATACTCTGTTCTGGCAACCATAAAAATACAAGTGCTTGGTTGACATGGTAGTCGCTTTTGATTACAATCTTGTATATCACTTTTTGGATAAACTTACCACTCTTTTTTTCACATTTTCGTGGAGTTTCAAGTCTATATGTACACTCTGAAACTTTCTGTAGCAATAATTTTAATCTGTGAGCCCAGTAGCTGATTAGCTATTTCCTTAGCTTTTCACCGTGACAATGGGTCATCCACGTTCATGTTATTGAAGGCTTGTAACCGAAATGATAAACGAGACTTCTAAAAAGCACCTAACGGTTTTGCCCGAATTGAATAAAGAAGAATGTAATTCAGGTGATTTTGTAGCTCCTGGTTTTCTGGCATTTCTGACCTCTCCATAAAAAATTTCAAAAATGACTCTGATTCATCTCCGCTTGAAAGTACAATTTGGCAATGTGTTTAAAGATTGCGAAGTGCAGCTTATTGTACCAAACGAAATCGGTGATGTTACATTTCGACTCGTTTATTCATCAAACGAAATTGAGCAGCTTCGAAAAGGTTGCTATTAAAATGCAAAATCGGCAATCAAGCACACCTGGTGCCAATTTAGCACTTTATGGCGCGCGTGTATCCAGTACTAATTGTGAACTTATTCAGCTCTTTAACACTGATAGAAAACGTGGTCATGGTAACTCCTCTACGGGCTACAAGTTTGAAGGAAAATCAGTTAACTCTTAAGAATAGTTAACATATTGAAACATTTCAATGTGTAAGTTCAGAGAATTTTTTACTAACCAAAATTTTAAAATGAAAGATTATTGGCAAAACGTAAAAAATGCAAGTTCATATCTTTGCGCAAAATATCTAAAATATAAATGGTCTGTGAAATATGTACGTGTTTACGGAAATGCAAACCGTAAAAAAATCTGCAACATTTGCATTTCATAAATATTCATGGGTATAAGGTTCTTAGGCTAGAAAAAATTCAATATAAAATAGCCAAAAGTTCAGTCTAAATTTCAGGAATCGAACATGTGCTTCGCAAAGGAGGACGCGCCCCGCAAAACTGCACTTTTTTTTAAATTCTAAAAACTGCAAAAAAACTGTTATCATTTTTTCGTAAATTAGCCTCTTTCCTGTTTTCGCAAGAATCTTACTACAGTACCTGCTAGATATGCTACACGTTTTGAAACAACGCAATTTACTCTAGCACGGAAACCAGTCACCGTATCTTCACTAGCAAAGAAAACCACTAAAAAGGACCAAGCTGACGATGTTGATCCAACAAAGCTCGAGCCGGAAATCAATGTGGTGCAATCCCTTTAACTGTAAATTTGTTTCCAATCTTTATTAGTTCGAAAAACTAATATCAAACTAGACTACTTCTCTAAAATTACTAACAGACCGGGGGGAGTGACTTTTAGCGTCAATAAATAGTAAACTTGCCGAACAAAGACGAGCTTGCCAAAACTTTTTTTTCAAAAATTAGCAAGCAGAGCAGAAATTTTTTAAAAGGAATTTAAAAAGTAGCTCGATAATTTTCAAAAAAACCTAATTCCTCAAATAAATCCCCCCACCCCCGTTCGAATTTTTCCGCGCATGCGATTCAACTGAAAACGTAACGTTGCCGCTGCTATGATTTTAGTACCTTGGAAAAGAGCCATTGAAATTACTTTCCGCAGCGACGGATCAAAAAGTCTTCAAGATCACACAAAGGAAGTGATAGCCGCACTTACCAAAAACC